GTCACTACCCCCCCCGGGCCGCGGGATACAGTCGTCCCTCTCTAATAATCCGGCACCTTTTGCTACGGCGTTTTCTGCTGATTAAGAAATCCTGCCCTCTGATCCGGCCCTACCCAATTGCATGCATGTGTCATACGTCAAAACGCAGGGTTTTTCCATGTCGATCCAAGTATTTGATGCACAACTTTATATTCTCAACTGTTCTCCAGGAATATACACAGTGCTTAGTGATAAAGTAAAACAGAGAACATGTTCACATGTACTCTTGCACACAAACGCACACACACACACAGACCTGAAAATTGGCAGGACACTACTCCTTGCTAAAATAAGAAAGTATGGTTGACTGCTTAGCAGTTGCCTCCTGGACAACATTGACCCTCTTGAGAAGGCCACGCAAGCAGTCGACATCATGCAGGTCGAACGACGGATGTCCTTCGAAGCAAACAATTGCATCAGCAAGTGCGCGGGATGCTTGTGCCAGAGTTGGAAGGCTGTTGGAGTGCGCATTCAAGCCTGATGTGCTAGAGCTGTTAGCCAGTTAGTTGTAGAACGTCAGTACCGTCGGTCAGTGTCGTGCATCGTCGCTGATTGTTTAGTAACTGGTGGTGTTAGTGGACAGTATAGCGTAACTTGTAGTTCCTTGGTCTTTCTCTTTGTATAAATTGAGTTCGGGTTCGGAAAAGTCCTAACAACCAACCGAACTGAACTCTCCCGCGCGAGGTCGAGTACAGTTGTCAAATTCGATCGATAACTGAACGCGATTTACGACTGCCGGATTATGAAATCAAACTACGTGCAGTTTGAGCGATTCGTTTCAAAAAGTCACTGCCGGAGGCGGAATTCAAGTGCCGGATTACGATGTAGGAATTGAACGAAAAAAATCGGTTTCATCAGAAAGTGCGCCGGTTGGCAAGGGTTCCGGATTAACAAGTGCCGGATTAGAGAGGGACGACTGTACTTGATTCACTCGCATCTTTTGCTACATGACATTGTACTGTATCAGTGTGAGAAAGAACTTTGAAGAAGACGAGTTCGAGCATACAATAATAATTATTATTGATAGTATTGCCATGATTTCTACCTTGCTTTTCACTGAAAACACTATCTGCATGACCACCGAACCCTTTACCATGGAGCTCACCAGCACTGATCAGGTGCATTGTACACTGTTAGTCCATCGGCCAAATCTCAGAAAGGGCCTCTTTCGGCGAAGGTGATGCACTGAAGCTCCAACTAAACGCCCTTTGGCACACTAGCTCATGAGACCCCATAGAATACGAATCCGTTTGTTGGACGTTGCCAATCCAGTCCAGGATAGTCGAACTGGGTCGAATACCTTCTTCCGATTTTCGTAATTTCGTCCACCATTACATCTTTCTCATCGACTTTTTTTCGCTTGGCGAATGTTCTTGAGCCGCTGAGCAGAATCTACGCACGCTCGAACACTTGAAATGCCTGCATGTTGACGGTTCGCAAGATTCTAGCGAGCTTGGCGGAAATCTATTATTTATTTTGACATTTTTGGGGGAATCTGAATTAGAACGGTAGAAGCTCATTCGGAGAAGACGGCGTGTCGCCGCTGTCGGATTGTCGCTACTGTGTTTCAGACGTATTTGCTTGAACGTGCTATTGAGGATGGACAGAAGATGAAGTGACGGCTTTCTTGAACACGGACGTTTTGTCTAAATTGTAGCTGAAACATCTCCGGCATCTGGCGTCTAGAACGCAATTATTATGAGTTGTGAGTGCCAGCTGAGCTGAACACAAGCTGGACACCATTCGTCAGCTGGGAATTTACATCGAAGCTCTTGATAGCCACGATAAGCATAATTATAGGCAGAGGTAACCTTGTTTGACTCAATACGCATGCAGGTGATACCACTAGTGGCACTACAATGTAAATGGTGCAAAATTGATGCAACAGCGAATATGTACTTCGTACAATCACGAACAATTGTAAGGCAAGTGTTCATGCCTGTCATAGAAGAATTTCAGCCCGGAAGTCTTGTTGTCATGGTCATAAATAATACAGGACTTGGGTTGGCTCTGGACATAAACACACTTGTGGTGAATACGGTCATTATTGCGAGAAAAATATTTAGCCATTGTATGTTAACACCTGATGCCGCGCTACAAGCAATATTTCATGTACATGTATGTGAGACTCAATTGCATCCACAAGGCCGTAGATGCATGTAAGCACACAATGCTGTACAGTATAAGTAGTAGTCGACATGTGGTGCCTTCCTGCTGCACATGCACATGCGGCAAGTTGGCAACGACACATGACCTATCTGCACCGCACAGCGTGAGCTTAGAAAGGAATATTGCACACATAGTGCTATTTGTGTTCCGATATCATTAAGCCGGTATGCATGTACTAGTATCCTTATACATGTACCTGGTCACTCGATAGGCGATGCCGACTGTACTAATCTTATCCATATTACCCGATAGGCTATAGCACACTGCGTCAGATCACTATGCAACAAAACAAGAGCTTTGGAGCGAATATACACTGAAGCAAAGTAGGTTTCAAAGGTACAGCACTAGTCACGATGAGGGGAGTAACGAGGATGGTTAGGCCGTGACACATAGATGATGATTGTTTAAAATGATTCATGCACGGTGGAAAAGTACCACCAATGGCGATGATATTGCTTTCACAACAATGACATCAGTAGGAGCAGTGACACAACCTTACTGCTCCAAGTAGGATTTACAAGCGAGTGAAGGGAGAGCAGACTGGTCTAATAGCAGACCGGGTCTAAGCAAGGAAATAATCGGCATCAGAGGTGAGCTTGCACATCAGAAAACAGATGATGATCACCAAACACAGAGAAGTTGGCTATGTGTATGTTTGTGTCACTGTGTGTGCGTGTGTGTGTGTGTGTGCATGTGTGTTTGTGTGTATGCGCGCACATCTGTGTGTGAGAGAGAGGCAGACAGACAGATAGCATATGGTGGGAGGGATCAAGGTCTGACCTCAGAGTTAAATGCTGACGGTGTGGAATAGCAACAGTGCGAAATCAGGCAGGGTGGTTAATGGCCCACACTGGAGCCGAGTAGGAGCGCCAGTGGTTGAGGGCTAGCACAGGAGTAGCAGCAGCTCCAGCCTAGGAAGATCAGCTTCTGGATGAAAATCTCCCGGACACAGTAGGTACCAAGCTTCACTAGCAGATTGCCGGCAGGGGTGCACGGCGAGCACCCGTACATCCCTCAAGCCACCAGAGCCGCAGTACTTGGACACGATCCAGGTGCTTACCCGCCAACAATGCTGAGAAGGCACTGGAGCCATACAGGAACTTATGATCGAGCATGACCACAGACTTGAAATACAGGGTCCGGCGTTGAATACTGAGACAGCGACGTCTCCTCCACAGAACACCACTCAGCCCCACCATTGCATTATTTTCGCTTTTTCATGATTTTTACAAGTGTGTTAGAGCACACAGCTCTCGATGCAACATTTACCAGTGACTAAATAACTCCGTGTCTCCGACCATAACTGCAGCGTTCCCGTGAGCCTGTTGGATTTCCGTCAGCCTGTTGAGATTATCTTCATCTCGTCACATGTGAGCCTGTGTGTTTCATCCGTATCGTGGCACAATTACACAGACACGATTTCCAACTCAGGCCGGTTCCGTTGCTCGAAGGGTTGGCGGTAAGAATTGCTACGCCGTCTGTGGCTGCATGGGAACTTGGCGAGTCGTCGTCTTTCTCCATAAATCCTGATCGTCACGCGAACAACAGCCACTATTGCCTAAAAACTACGACACAACAGTATCAAGCTCGCCCCAGCAGAAGGACACGAATGACGAGCGCTAAGACGGAGAAAGAGAGACAGGGTTAGCGAGAGCTGACTAGTGCAGGTACGCTGTCATCTCCTGAGAGGTGGTGGGCGAAGCAGCGAAGTGAAACGAAGGAAGATAGAACTTATTAGAAGGCATACGGAGGCACCAAAACCTATTGCCTGTCACATACTAAGTGCCATTTAGGGTTGACAGCTGTCAGCTGACAGCCTCAAAAATTTGAAAATCTGCTCAAAAAACTCTCGATCAGAACTCTGCGCACTCTCAAATGGAGCGCACAGTAAAAAAACTCGGCGACGAAGAACGCTTCGTATCGACGCCCTGGACTGAATTCGGCACGTCCAACAAACGGAATAGTGTTCTCTGATATATTCTCTACGTGCTGGGTATGGTCGCGTTTAGTTGGAAGCTCAGTGCATCACCACTTTCGATTTTGAGACTTGGCCGATGGACTATGTGTAGCCTACAGAACTGTGGTACAATCATGTAGTTATGCTCCTACCTCCGAAAGGATGCCAAATAATTAAATTATGCTCCAAAGTTTCATCCACCAAATGCCAATAATTATGCCGGCATAATCCGCCGGTGCCTAGCGCCGGTGGCTGTACATGTACTCACTACGTAGAGTCAGGTGATCGGTGCCCGGACAGGTGATCGATGCCCGGACACTTTACTTCTCTGAAGTTACTATCGCAATTACCCCCAAATGTTCATGGATGATACCCTCGGGTAGGATTTGACAGCACACGAAGCCACAAATCGCCAGCTCAATTTTGATCAAAGGAAAATAGCATGCGGTGCCGATGAATTATTTTATGCGAAATTATAGTGAAATTTAGTCACAACGAAGAGAACTCGCTCTCCAGAAACACGAACGCACCAGCTGAAACACTTTCAAGCGACACAGGCTGTTGTCAGCACAATAGCCAACATCCCCAAGCAAGTTGAAGTCAAAAGAAAGTACGTGAGAGCCAGAACAAAGGGACATTTCTCATCCCTTCTAACACGTCTCGAACAGCTAAATTTCCCGCGCATTTTTCTCAGCTGGTGAGTCCTGGCGGCAAGAGAGGGCCTCAGCTGCGACGAACCAAATGGAAACACTTCCAGGAAATGATATCCCCAGATCCACAAGTCACAAAACCACCCAACACAACTCGTTCACCAAGCATTTTTATAATTTCCACAATGGAGGAAGCCGTGGCGGCATGCAACGCCGGCCTCTCCATTCGCAAAGCGAGCAAACAATTCGGGGTGAAGAGATCTACTTTGTATGATCGGCTCCATGGGAGATCATCGCGACTTGGCCCTGCTCCACTTCTTGCGAAGAAACATGAAGACCTACTCGTGGAATACATCACCTCCTTGGCAAACTCAGGCTTCGGAATCAGCAGAGGTGAGCTCTTGAGTGAAAATACTTTCGTTACAAATTATTTTAGTTCTTCCCCCGGCCCCGCACGTGCATCTCAAGTGCGGTTTCCCGCGGAAATTCAAATTTTTATTTTTCGCATGTGCATTCGGATTTCCGGCTTCTTCTCGACGCCCACGCACTTGTGCATGCATTTTCGCGGACAAATTTCATCTGTACATGAATGTCTATGACATAATCATGTATTACAATCCCCTTGAACAAAATTAATAATAATTATTACTTGCTATGAAGGTACCAGTCCATGTTGAACCAAGCACTGTTGCATGCATGGGGTTGCGATTTCCTGAGTATTTATTCGGAAGATATACATATATTGTGTGGGAACCATAAATGTACGGTCAATGTGAGAAGCACACTACCACAGCCTTGCACTCTGTATGGACTGTCAGGGGTGCTGCCCTCGAAGGGCCCAAAATAACATCAGGAAACAAGATGTAGACGAAGCGTGTGCAATGCACACAGACATACATTGCCGGTGCCGGTTTGGGAAACCCCCACATGATACATATATGTGTCAGACATAATCACGGCCAGGTCAATCTGGGAGTCTGCTCCACTCTCCTGTTTTGTTAAAAAAATTGCTCATGTCATTTCGATGGCAGCACCCCGGACTGTCCATATGCAAAAGGGCCAGTACCAATTTACCAGTAACCACAGTGTACTGATTAGTAACAGTGCAGCATTACAAAATGTGAAAACTAGGATCCAACCAGTGTACCCAAGTATATTTGTGAGAAATGTACAATTGTGTCTGTCGTGTTCTGCCTGTGCTCACAGCCACATGCCTCGCACTGGCCGCTGAAATTGTACGCCGGGAGACAGGACGACCATGCCAGAAACTGACCACAATGTGGCGGAGGAGATTCAAGAAGAGAAACCCTACAGTAACAACAAAAAGACCAACATCTCTGGAGGAGTCCAGAGCAAGAAATGCCAATCCAGCCGCGATTAGTGCATTTTTCGACTTGCTGGAGGCCACTATCGAGAAGCACAGCATCGCTCTGGGTCAATTATGGAATGTTGATGAGAAGGGATTCAATCCCGACCCCATTCCCAAGCGAGTTGTGACGGCTAGGGCAAGTAGGGCACAGCAGCAGCACAAACGCAGCCATGACCACATCACGGCCAACATTTGTATCAATGCCTGCGGCAACCATCTGCCCCCTCAGCTTATCTACAACCGTGCACAGCTTACCACACGCCTGGTGGAGAATGGACCACCAGGCGCAATTTACTGCACATCCAAGACTGGGTCCATGGACAGAGAGCTTTTTCAGAGCTGGTTCAAGGATCTCTTCTTGACGTCAACATCCCGGGAGAAGACCCAGTTGATACTGATGGATAATCATTCCTCCCACATTAGCGTGGAGATACTCGAGCTGGCGAGGAAGTCTAATGTTGTTTTCATTGCGCTTCCATCCAAGACTACCCACATCCTGCAGCCACTCGACAAGACTGTCTTCAGTGCAATGGGAGCACACCACCAGAGCACCAGTGCAGCTGCCCGCTTGTTAAAGCCCAGCCATAGTCTCGCCCTGTCAGACTTTCTGCCAATATTTGCTGACACATTCACGAAGTCCGTCACCCCCGCCAACATCATGGCGGCAAGTTTTAAAGTAACGGGGGTATACGGCCTACGGACCGAAGGGACCGAAGGGACCGAAGGGTTATTCCTCAGCATGTCCTCGCACCATATGAAGTTCATCGCGCTGAATCAGGTATGCAACCACTCAGCCCAGAAGAGGAAGCACTGTTCCAGAGGCGCCTAGCTGAAGGATATGATGTGCCGGACGCACGATACGACATGTGGAAAGCAGCTAGAGCAGCACCAACACAGGACACGGGATTCGTTGAAATGCCATCGGCGACCAGCTTGGTTACTGCCGGTGTCATCAGTCCCAGCACTGCATCAATTTTCATGACGCCAGCTGTGACACCGAGACGCCTTCCATCTGCAGCAAGCCAGGCTCGTACTTTGACAAGCGACGAGTTCTTCACAGCCCTGGAGCGAGTTGAAGAAGAAAGACAAAAGAAAGAAGATGCCAAGGAGGCCAACAGGAGGCAACGAGAGCAACGCAGGAGCAGTACCTCCAGTGCACATACATCATCAGCAGCAGCAGAGGCAGAAGCAGCAACTGCTGCGGTCGCTGACACATGTAGGTATACAGGCTTTGCCAGACATAAGGCCATGGTAAAAAATAAAGTTGATTCTCAGGTCATGAGCCTGTGAAAATCGGTGCGAGCGAGCGATTTTTTATTTTAATTCCCACAATTTTTTTATTTCCAAAGATAGGGTCACACATGTGTACGTCACAGGTTCATAATTAATTTATAATTATTTTATTATTCAGGCCAGGGAGTAGAAAAATACCGGTATTTTACTACTCCTGGATTCATGCCTTTCGCATTGACCGCGTTTTCATGCACGCATATGCATGCATAGAAATAAAAAAAATCGTCGGTGCGCCACCAAAAATCGATGCGCGCGTACTTGAGAATCAAAGATATTTTTTACCATGGCCTACAGTGTAATCCTAAATTTTCGTTCAGTTCTGAATGGATTTGCTACAATGAAGATTCTGTGTTTCAAAGGCTGGCGAGCGGGTAAAAATAATTATTTGCTGATTCTCCTCGTGTTTCTTGTGGCCGTGGTCGTCCAACGCTCAGCAGCACTAGCAGCGGAAGCAGGACAGACACAAATTGAGGTAGGATCATAAATATACAGCAATGTACATACGTCGGATAGCGGCTATTGTGAAAGAAAGTGCAAGTTTATGTACGTGGTACGGCAAAGCCAAAGGCCGTCCATTATTATCGATCTTTTTACGAAACAAAAACATTCCGTTTATGGTTGGGCCCATGAAGATTTTCGTTTTGAAAAATATTGATAGCTAAAACATCATTCATGTAAAGTCAATCTATTTTTTGCTCAAGAGGGTGGGTGGGGGAGGGACATACGTAAACCTTCAAAGTTCATTCTGTGAAAAATATGGATAAATGGATGGCCTCTAAACTGTTTCTTTCTGCGTGTCATGTCTGCTGCGGCTGCACTGCACTGCAGGTGTATATTGTCGATGTTGGGGAGTGTCTGCTGGGACCGACCGCGTACGACTTTGACAACCCGCTGACATGGACTAGGATCCCGGCTACGCCCTCGCGGCCGATCGATGGAGGTGGTGGTGACGGCGGCGGTGGTGGTCAAGGCGGTAGAGGGGAGATGCTTGCGACTTTGCCAAACGCCGGCGGTGCAGGTCAAGACAGCGGTGGAGCGGAGATGCTGGCGTACTCGGCTAATGCTAACAGCTACATGGTGGCCTCTGGGAATAACCTGACAAGTGGAATGTTTAAAGGTGAGTTGGTACTCTTCTTACTAGCATGTTGAGCACACTTACGAAAGCTGGGCAATGTTTGGACCACTCATGGTAGAGTTCTTGCCATATATTCAATTCCGTTAGTCAGTAACTTCACCGGAACCGCCGGTTTCTAGGAGTGGGAAAGGTGTGTGAAGGTAATGCAGATTTGCACCTTGATCCAGTATGACTTATGCTGTTACACATGCGGAAAGTCCCTTTGACGACTGAGGCAATAGCCATGAATCGAGAGAGAGAGAGAGAGAGAGAGAGAGAGAGAGAGAGAGAGAGAGAGAGAGAGAGAGAGACAGAGACAGAGACAGAGACAGAGACAGAGACAGAGACAGAGAGAGAGAGAGAGAGAGAGAGAGAGAGAGAGAGAGAGAGAGAGAGAGAGAGAGAGAGAGAGAGAGAGAGAGAGAGAGAGAGAGAGAGAGACACACACATGGACTCAAATGGAGAGCAAAGGATCCATTTAAAGTAAAGAAAAAAAGGACCAAGAAACTACAAGTCGCGCTATAAGGTCCACAACACACATATTTTCTTGTCCTTCGCTTTCTTGTTAATGGGCAACCTGCCCGTTAGGATCTGCGAAGTAAAATAAACAACAACGACAACAACAACAACAACATAAATTTATCTCTTATTGGCGATGGTGCCGTCGTGGGAATAAAGAATTCAACAACAACAACAACAACAACAACAACAACAACAACAACAACAACAACAACAACACCAGTTAATAACAATCAGCTCATGCGATAACAATGCACGACACTGACCGTTCTAAAACTAACAGCTCTAGCACATCTTGGATGCGCACTCCAACAGCATTCCAGCTTGGAAGGTTCTAAGTTGTAGTGCGCATCCGAGATGTGCTAGAGCTGTAAGCCAGTTAGTTGTAGAACGTCAGTGCCGTCGGTCAGTGCCATGCAATGTTATCGCATGTGCTGATTGTTTAGTAACTGGTGGTGTTAGTGGACATTATAGCGTAACTTGTAGTTTCTTGGTCCTTTTTTCTTTACTATAAATATACCAGGAACCGTTACGTTTTTGTCACTACTCTGCAGGCGCAAAGATATTTTATAATTATCAGTAATCAGTACATAACATGAGTTCTCCACCAACGAAAGAGAGAGTGCTCAACAGGACACTTGTGTTCGGGTTCCCTACGATCAGCACATCAGTCCCACGAAGATCGCCCAGAACGCGACACTCTGAGTTGAGACTGATATTTCCCTTTCCCCTAGTGCGTGTGTATGAGTACTGTGGAACGTTGAGCTAAAGACGCTTGCAACGATGTCGTGTTCAAGGGTGTCGGAACCGGTGCGGCAGGTCCGGCCAAAGCCGCACCGATAATTTCATCTTGTGACTTTTGAAGCCATGAAATCTGGGCTATTTGGGCCCAATTTCCCTAAAATTTTCCCGGGAGGGAGGGGAGACCTCCGGACCCCCACCTACTCATGCGGCCGCACCAATGTCGAATACCTTCCGACGCCCCTGATGTTCATTCTAGACATACAGCTCTGGATGTGTGTCCGATGCCGTGTGTGCCAGAGGACTGGCGTTGTTTTCTGTTTGTGTCACTGCGTACGGTATTCTCAGGACTTGCTGGCTTCCGTGTCAATCACCATTGTATTCGACTTGAAACGTAATGGTATGAAAGGCCTAGTCGGAACTATAATAATTTTATTATGGCTTCTGTGTTTCGTATGTTGCTATTCTCAGATCCTGTGTTCACTGGTCTGAACGGCTCATCTAACCCCAATGACCTGGACCACTGTGGTGCATGGCTGAGTGCAGTGCACTGGGATGCTGCAGAGGGTGTTATGAGAGGCTTTTATCACCAAGTAAGTCATACGGTCCAGTACAACCATGACCATAGATGATTCACCCGTTGATGAATTCACCGAACCCCCCGGATACTGCTCTGTTCCAGCTGTTTTTTTTTGTACCTGGAATTGTATCATGTGCTGCACGGGGCTCAGTAGCGAACGACATTCGTTCTTTCCCTTTCTTCCACACCCCTACAGACACTCGCGCACTCTCCCTCTCTAACACACGCACACGCCCTCTCTCTCTTTCTCTTTCTTTCTCTCTTTCTCTCTCTCTCTCTCTCTCACTCTCTCTCTCACTCTCTTTCTCTCTCTCACTCTCTCTCTCTCTTTCTCTCTCTCTCTCTCTCTCTCTCTCTCTCTCTCTCTCTCTCTCTCTCTCTCTCTCTCTCTCTCTCTCTCTCTCTCAGGAGTGGAAATGCAATTACTCTCACAGCGGCTACACTAACATGAGTATTGCTTATGCGGAGTCTCATGACAGAGGTACAGGAAACGTAAACGGCCTGCCTGCCCCGTTTATTATGTATGTACATGGATGTAGAGCTGATTGGCAGTTAGTTGTAGAGCGCCAGTACCGTCGTTCAGTGTCGTGCAAACGTTTTCGCATGAGCTGATTGTCAAGTAACTGGTGGTCTTAGTTAACATTATAGCGTAACTTGTAGTTCCTTGATCCCTTACTTTACTATAAATTATTAATCATTGGCTCTCCATTTGAGTCTAACCCTTCCTATTTGCTTTTGCTTGTGTTAGGCAAGACCTTTGCTAAACCTGGTCACCCACACAACGCTATCATAACTGCTCCAAACAGCAGCTCAACGCACATCTGTGGTGAAGGAGGACACGGTATGGCTGTGCGTGATGGCTATTACTACATCTACTTCAGAGACTGGTAAGGCTGAGTGATGCATGGTGTGGTGTTTTGTGCATGGTGTGGTGTTGTGTGGTGTGATGCACTGAATAAACATGTCCTAGTGCCACACAAAGAGATTGCATGATTTTGATACATTCAAAGCGCTTCACCCCAGCAGACTGTGTCACAGCTTTCTCGTGTGACCAAATCAGTTTATGCAGAAAGTGATCATGGTGCGTGTACAGTGCTACCAACATGGCCAACATCATAATTATGATCAATAGATGCAGGAGTTGCGTGCAGTGGGAACTTTTTTTACCGAAGAGAACAGATCCACCCCAACAGATGAGATTGAAGCAGAAGCCAGGAGAGACTAGGAAACGAGATAAGATGACAGCTGGGATCGAAACAGAAATAATAGACATGACATGTGGTCACTGCTACAAGGACAGTTGTAGCTCAGTGTGCTGGTGAGGCTACTGGCACTGCACTGCACAAGAGGGCCTCAGCATCGCTATGCCGATAATGCACCAAAAACAAAGATATGTACACGCTGCATTGGTTAAACAATTCTCTAGCCGCGTCGAGTCGAGCTGCTTGCTCTACTTCGGCTTGTGAATTTCTCTGCTCCATTACCTTCACTGATTACCTTCACTGCAGGTCACACTTTGGTATTGGTGTTGCCAGGGCAACCATGGCAAGCGGAGGCACGCCAGGATCATGGTATAAGGTGAGGCTTGCGTTGACAAGAAAAACCTGGTCAAACCCAAGCAAAACCCGGTCGAACTGAAGCAAAACATGGTCAAACGGAAGTAAAACATGGTCAAACCCAAGCAAAACATGGTCAAACCCAAGCAAAACCCGGTCAAACTGAAGCAAAACCCGGTCAAACTGAAGCAAAACATGGTCAAACCAAAGCAAAACATGGTCAAACCGAAGCAAAACATGGTCAAACCGAAGCCTGGTCGAAGCAACTACGGGTAATTAATGGGCCATGTGACATTCACAATCGCAGACCGCAATACCGGGATCCGAAACTTGAGCCGCTTAGGTGTCGTGATGTGCATTAGCAGCAGCCTGTGTTGTTTCATACCAAAACATTTAGTTCATGACCTCCAGTGGAATGTAACTCAGTACATGGGGTCTGTGTGGAGCGGCATCCTGCCCGTATCAGTTGATCAAGAACCGGTAAAATCAGCTAGGCCATTGTGTCGTTATAGGTTTACACTGCTTGCAGGTCCGCTTTTCTCGGCGACTTCGGATGGTTTTGTATGTGATGCGCCGTCCGTGTGCATTGCCTTTGAACTTACCGTATTGCGCGTGAAACCGTTACGCCTAAACTATAGGAAAGTCAAATTCAGGCAGCTTGATCGTCATTTCGCTACGTAACTAGGGCAGTAGGCCGAGCAGGACACCCATATCTCTTACATCGAGCTGCACACTCTTGGAGATTATGGTCTTTTATATGTACTTCCTCCGCGTCATCGAAATTGTCGCCATTTGACTAGTGACTTGTCACTTGTTACTGACAACTCCATAAGCCAAGCCATTCAAAACTTATTACACAGTATGATAGTCTGAAGACTAGAGTAACGTTCCAGGACAGTTGGACTGAGAGTTTTCATGCAGAGATGAAGTCCTCGTCGTCGCTGATGTCAATGGACGCAATAATATCGTTCCGAAATATTTCAAGGAAGGTTGAAAGTTGGTCGCGCCTCATCTCAAACGTTTTGACTTTCTCCACAGGACAAGAGCTGCTATGCTTGTTGTCTGCTAGCTCTGGATGATTTCTACTTCACCACCAACGAAGCCTAGTAAGAATACACGATCGTTGCGAGGTCGGTTGATTACCGTCGGCGGAATCACCTCGATCTTGAAATGAACTTTTTTAGCCGTGGCATGCCCATTTATTTTAGCTGTGTGGTCACAGCTCATGCAGGTAAGTGTACTATCACGTCCAGCGCGCCCTCTTTTTCAGCATCACTGCCCGGCCCTGATTCACTGGTATACCATGGTTCGGCACCTGCGTGTGCATCACTACAGCACTACGTGTAGAGTCTACACGGCTCTTGCAGGTACAATCATGTACTGAGTGTCTCGGCCAGAGCGACAAATTTTATCGCTGTTGCAGGCATTTAGTTTGCTGACCCCTCGATGTTTCTCCAAGCGCTGCCACTTGTTCCACGAAGTCATTCTCACCCCAGCTAAGGTAAAACAGTGATGAGGCTTGAGTGAATGGCCATAAGCACGAGAAATGTGCAGGCTGCAACGCCTGACTGATCTCAGCGAGTCGAAATTACCATCGCAGCGACATCAGCGAAGAAATTGCCTCTAGTTCAAAAATTCCAGCTTCCAATAACAGAAAACAGAACTTTGCCGTCACCCTATACTGATGACCATCGCCTATGTCCGATTCCTTGCCTCTGGTACGAGTGCTGGTGAGTAAATACCTCGTTTTATATCAAAAGTCAAACTGCGACAATTTCGATGACGCGGAGGAAGTACTGAATGTGCTGTTTGACTATGCGGGACTACAGTGACCATCACTATGGATATCACCTGTGTTCGATATCACTAGAATGTCATCGGCTTTGCCAATGAGCGTCCTAAGGTCTAACACATGGCGTGTCTGTCTATCTGTCTGTCTGTTTGTCCAATTGTCTTTGTCTGTCTGCCTGTCTGCCTATAAGTCTGTCTGTTTATCTGTAAGTCTGTCTGTCCGTCCGTCTGTATGTCCGCCCGTCCGTTTGTCTGCCCGTATCTGTCTGTATGTCCGTATGTCCATCTGCCCGTCCCTCCGTCCATCTGTCCATGCATTACACTGCAGTACTATAACGGTGACTGGACACAGCCAGGTATCCGTGGAAACGCTAGCCGGCTTGCCAACATCACCGGCACGTCTGCATACTACTCGTCGTCTAGGCAACGGTTTATCTCAGTTGGATATTGGTCTTCTGGTAAGGAAATGGGGTTAGAGAATTGCTGCCACCACATCACCACTACTGTACACTGTCTGCTCCTGAGCCGGGTCAGCCGGGGCAGCCGGGTCAGTGACCCGCTTGGGGGGTTCTTGGACCCGTTTGGAAAAGGAACACCGGGTTACTTGTGACCCGGTTGGGAGTCATGCCGAGTACTTTTTGTTTTACTGGTACTGTACTTGGAGGGTGTAGACACTGATATGACAGTCTTCAGCTAGTGAAGGCACACGTGGATAGAGTACCCGGCACGTTCATACGATGTCGTAAACTATTTTAGTCTACACTCTCTGATGTACAGTAGGCGCACTGGAACGTACCCGGTTTGGACCCGGTTTGGACCCGGTTTGGACCCGGTTGCAAGAGTTGTGCCAGGTACAAGTGTACCCGGTTGGTTTGAAATCCTAGAGCAGACACTGATGTGTGGTGCGGGCCCCTCAGTGCTCAATTGCTGGCTTATTTCTCCTGGTATCCATATGATTGTCGTTCAGCTGCCAGAAGTAGTCACTGATGAATTCTGGACAAAAACCGTTCCTGTCGAAAACAAATCAGTGTCCTTTGGTTGTGGATTGGTCATGTTTCTATCAATAACTGCTACTTGTCTCCTACCTGGCTTGTCATTCAGGTTCCATTGGCGTGGGACACGGTACGGTCACCACGGTATTGACCGTACCACTTTTTACCCCAGGTACCTCGTCCCGGAATTGATAAAATACACTCATCTGGGATCTAAATTTCCAAAATTTTCGGCTCGGCCACCCCTCCCACGCGAATGAATTGTACTTCAGATGGCTGACTGTTACTATTTTTTTACTGTACTACACTAAAATACCTCCCCATGCCCCTGCTGGGCTCTGTTTTCAAATTGGATACAAGATCAATATCAATATCATTAGATCAATATCAGTAGAATATTGCTTGATTGCTACTCCGCACAAAACAGACTGCATAATGGCGTCGGTGTATAGCTTTACCCTATAATATCTGTCATCAGTGACCATGGGATCACGAGAACGAGGCATTGAAGGTAACCACTATAATTATATCAGGTGCGTTGCACCGCTGTTGGAGGTGATCTGGGCAAAGGGGGGGTCGGGGGTCACCCCGCGGGAAAATTTTGCAAAATCCTACATTCTGGGCACTTTGGGAATTGTGGTGAAAAGAAGTGGTGCGGCCAAAGCCAGACCGGCTGCTACGCCCCTGCATATGTACCATGAAAATGGCAGGACACACCCAGCCAGTGAGTTGCTGCTTAGAACTACTTTACAGAGTGTCACAAGCTCATTTTGAACCCAAGCTTCCATTGAAGGTTTGCTCATGTAGAACATTGTGCACATGGCCATCACAATGTGTCAGCGTGAAATTCTGTATTTTTGTGTGTGTGTGTGTGTGTGTGTGTGTGTGTGTGTGTGTGTGTGTGTGTGTGTGTGTGTGTGTGTGTGTACGTGTGTCTGTGTCTGTGTCTGTGTACATGCATGTTTGTGTGCATGTGGATGTGAATGTATGCATGCATTTTACAGACGAGACACTAGGACGTGGCACCCGTTTGTCCTACAGCAGTGAGGGACTACACTGGACTCCTATGCTGCTGCCTCTGGTGCCGCTGGATCCACAGGTCTGGAATCGCACTGGCCATCAACCAGTAAGTGTTTTTGTTTTTTTTACTAACAAACACCGCCCTGCTAGCAATCAGGGAAAGAGGACAAGAGAAGTGACACCGGGCAACAAGACGGGGGAGGGGGGTAGGGGCGATGTGCCGATGTGGCTGACGAGGCTCATCCGACCAGAGGTCTCGGAATCATAGCCCACGGCCAGGCGCCAGAAAGAATGGCGCTTGGGAGGGAGAGACGTAGATTTAGTGGGAAAGAACAATGAAATGCTCCCGCACCGGCAATCGAACCCGGGGCCCCGAGTATGAATGTGGCCAACTCACCAGCAGTGCCGGCCAAGTATCTTTCTCTATATACAGTCACAGTGCTGCTCAATGATACCTGATCAAGTGAGTCAATAGCACACCCGGCAGTGCTGCGTGCAGCCCTAGACCTGTGAACATTGGGCTGTGAGCTGGTGCAGGGCGTGGCAACACTTGATTCATGCAATTGGATTTCATTGACCAGCACTGGGCATGACTAGACACCCAAACAGCCTTTGTTATAGCGCTAAGTTGACATTCTCTGACCCCAAAGCCATTTTCTTCTCAAATGCAATGAAGTTTATAGTTCACACAAGAGTCAATCTGACTGACCTTTGTGCATCTAGCGGAACGCGATCATCCACAGCTCGTAAGGTCAGGGCGCAAGTGCGGTCCAAAAGCGGTCGCAGATAAGAAATAAGACCCACTACAAAGCGATCAAAGACCAAAATCCCACTCCCTGCATCCATGTTACCCTCATGCCAGGCCACGAGTTCCCAATGAACCATCTTGCAGTGGTAGTGATAGTCATTAGCACCCTTTGAGTGTAGTGTTGTCGTGGTTACATTGAAGTCATGGTTACCATCTACTTCAAGTAGTCAATGGTCATGGCTATGTTGTATCACGTTATTTTGTGTACGTGCTGTTGGTGCATGCGCGTGATGCTGTGGTGTGAAAAGCAGTCTTCGTCTTGAGTTCGTCATGTCTATTTGTGTTTCCGTCGTCTTGTCACGGATATAGCCTTTCAAATGTAGTTTATCTCACCATCCATTGTCTGAGTATGGTGATGGCACGGGTCTGGGAGCAGGTGAAGAAAGTCAAATACAACAGTTGTGCATATAACAGTGTGAGAGAGTTGTTGTTTAAAGAAAACATCATCATGGGTGAACATAGTAATGCCGCATGTCTCATGGCAGATGAGTCCTTCTTTTGTGCTTTCCTTCCCGTGTGGTTGTACAGGAACAGAATGCGTATCAAGCACTAGCACCGGTCTCTGACACTGATGACGTACTGTCGTCTGCTTTCTTCTATTCCTATACATTCGTTGAACCTGGCGCTACACGACTGAACAAGTAGGTCCATCTGAGCATGCCTCCTCCCGCATGTCTGTCTATCTATCCATCCGCCTGTTTGTCCACCTGTCTACCAGTCTCTTTATCTTTCTGCCTGCTTGTGTCTTTCTCCGTCCATCCCTCTGTCTGCTAGCTAGTGGGACTAAACAATGGGTTCAAGACTACACTTTTTCTCTTTCATCCAATTTTGCCGTTCCAATGAGTGTCTTCTTTCAAATGAAAAATATGTGTGTGTGTGTGGGGGGGGGGGTATGCTGGATATTATAGGAGAGGAAATGAGCGAAACTAGGGTATGAATAATAGGCTGACATTGCTTTTAGGTTCTGCCCCCCCCCCCCCCCCCCCCCCGGTATCTCTCCATAGGCATAGGTCTTGTTCCATTCGTTGCAGTCTGTCTGGCAGCATTGGATCGAGAAGTCAATCAGGACATCAAGTAGACGCATCCAGGTTTGTGAATCTCTTGGCAGTCAGCGTGGCAGCCAGGGTATGAGACACTGCGGTGTATGCAGTGACCGAGTACCCACTAGTGACGACTACCCTGTAGTCATGCGGGAGCTCTGTACACAACGATACGTGTGTGGACACATCACCAACATGCCAGGCTTGTGGTGGTGGAGCAATGACCGGGCTCCGAATAGAACTGAAACAAATTCTGTTTCTGCTACTTCAAGTACTTCAAAGCAAATCCTCTTGGGTTCGTGTCATTTCTGTCTCTAACACAAATGTCACATACTACCTTGTCGTCTCTTCGTCCGAAGCAGCAGGAGTTAGGCCAGATCCTGAGAGCCGAGATCCCTAATGCTTGCGTTAAAAAGCCTGGGGTCAGATTCTTTTGCTGCTCTACTTCCTTTACCCATGCTGTCTTCTTCTCCTAGTGGTGTTGCGTAGACGACTGGTTGGCTACAATTCTTTTCTTCCTTTTCGATAGTACTTGGCTGCAGGCTTGTAAGTACAGCTGTGCAGCTAACTATATGTATTTCACAAGGAAAGTCAGACACGCACTGCTTATCGCACACATTGACTTTAGAACTCGGTCAATAAGCAAGTCTAGTTCCTTTCGAGCCTACTTGGCTCAACTTGGCAAATGCGGTCCTTGGAACGGTCCTTTCCTGCTGATAGCTTCTCCTCCAGCCTGGTCCGAATGATCCGTGTCTACTTGAGCATCGCTTCAAGTAGAGACGCTGTTGCCAGAGCCTGCTGCATAACGAGAAATCTCCTGCTCATTTCTTTGATATTCACCGGTCCTTTCCTGCTTATAGCTTCTCCTCCAGCCTGGTCCGAATGATCCGCGGATCAGTGCCTACCTCAGCATCAAATAGAGACGCTGTTGCCAGAGCCTGCTGCATAACGAGAAATCTCCTGCTCGTTTCTTTGATATTCACTTGGCGTCCTTTGCACGCTTCTACATATAATTCTAAGAAAGGAATTCGGAACCTCTTCTACTCCTTGTAAATCCTGGTTTCGAATTTGTCACATGGCAACAGCTTTGGTCGGCTAGGACATGTTACATGTACTTTGGAAGTACATTTACCTGCCTGCAATGCTACCTGCAATGCTCCCTGCAATGCTGCCTGCAATGCTGCCTGCAATGCTGCCTGCAATGCTGCCTGCAATGCTGCCTGCAATGCTGCGTAAAGTGCTACATGTCTACACAAAGATTTAACAGTACATGTGTGGCGTTCAAACAATTTGCTTGCATTTCCGACACGGTCAGGTTCGCACATCAGGACCATAGTCAATTGTGGCTAAAAACCTGGAACTTCCCAATATGTTCCACTAAGTGACAATTCGGGGTTATCGATTGTTTTTTCAACAAATGATCGACATAATTCTCAGCATCCAGAAGAACTTTTAAATAAAGTATCAATTGTCCATTGGTATTGAGTCTATTGACCGATGATTTTGAAAACAAAATTTCTAAAATACACCCACTCCCACAAAAACTTCTCTTTCCAAAAAAAAACGGATCAGTAAACTTGGACATAACCTAAGAATGGACTCAGATGGAGAACCAAGGATATATTTATAGAAAAGAAAAGGACCAAGGAACTAAACGTTATGCTATGGTATCATATTAGAATTAGTTGGAAGGCTGTTGGAGTGCGCATCCGAGATGTCACATGCTAGAGCTGATAGCCAGTTAGTTGTAGAACGTCAGTACCGTTCGTCAGTGTCGTGCAATGTCATCGCATGAGCTGATTGTTCAGTAATTGGTGGTGTTAGTGGACAATAGCATAACTTGTAGTTCCTTGGTCCTTTTCCTTTGTATAGAACCTAAGAATCTTGCAGTTCTGCTCAAACTCAACAAAATGTTCATTCTGTTCCTCTTTTAAATGCTCCAAAATCCTCTAATGCTCGGCTAGCCTCATAACTCCGAATAGAATTCCAGCACTATCAACTGACCCTTATGAGTGCGTGCATGTGTGTGTGTGTGTGTGTGTGTGTGTGTGTGTGTGTGTGTGTGTGTGTGTGTGTGTGTGTGTGTGTGTGTGTGTGTGTGTGTGTGTGTAGTGTGGTGTGTTTTTTAAGAAAAAAATGGAAAAATGAAAAATAGGGATTCACTGGCCAGAAAAAGTCACTTCAAACAGCTATGTGGTGGATACCAAGCTAAAAATAGTGGCGGTCAATTCATCAGCCTTGCAAGCTGTTGAATGGTGTAATCCCAGCACAAGTTGCTATGTCTAACATAGCTGTTCGCTATCATCGCTTCCGCGATGGGCATGTCTGAGGTCTGAGGTGTGTGTGTGTGTGCGCGTGTGTGCTCGTGTGTGTGTGTGCATGCATGTGGTGTGTGTGTGTGTGTGTGCGTGTGCGTGTGTGAGTGTGCGTGCGTGTGTGTGCATGCACATGTGTTTTCCCCTGTTTTTTTGTGTGCTCTCTGCTCTCTCACATACAATGTAGATATCTGTGCAGAAAGCGTGTGGATCATCACGTCTTCACTGTAGCTGACAGCAGCAGCAGCAGCAGTCTGCATCACTCCATCTCGCTGATCAAGCTTGGTCACTACCGCAGTCACATGACCGATGATATCTGGGTGACCAGTGCTGCCGTGCCTCGTCACCATGGTTACGACTACGTTGAGGGCGAATTTCCCCCGTTGCCGCTGCTGGCGACAGCAGACTGGACGTCAAGCAGCCGTGATGGGTATGATACTATACAGAAGTGTATCCGTGACTGTGGTCACACCACTGCTGTCGCAAATAGCACAGTTCTTACATCAGAGCAGCTTCAGTGGCTATGTGCGCAACGAACGGCACGGTACGAACACGACGCAAGAGCTTGCTGTTATTGTTTGGCTGCGGCGTCTGATCAGAGTGAACGTGATGAGGAGAGCAGCCGCTCTGCTGTTGATACCATGGTTGGGCTCTACGATTGCGTTCATGGCACTACCGGCGATCACTTCGTCTCCCGGTCGTCCACCTGCGACTCACAGCAATACATCCGCATATTGGGCTATGTCCAGCAGTCCCCAGCGTCGTCGTGGTGGCCAGGGCGTGACCCTGTAGCGGATGCAGTGACCGAGTACCCACTAGTGACGGCTGCCCTGTACTCATGTTGGAACTCTGTACACAATGACACGTGTGTGGACGCATCACCAACATGCCACGCATGTGGTGGTACCATGACTGAAGTACTCGGATATGGATTTCACTTAGAAAAATAGAAGACAGTCCGCTCACTGATCGGTGCATGTCGTAGATGTTGGCATTATTTTGAATTTGGACTCAAAGTAAATAATTGAACAGGCGGAAAGCTCCCATTTCAGCTAAAATCTTCCGTGTGTTCGGAAACTCTCTATGGCTTCTGGAATCTGAATCTGAAGCCATGCTTTAGGAGGTGAATCTGCGCCTTGATCCTTGGCGCTGGTGGTGTACCGACGGATGCGGAAAACTCAACCTCCAGCCGCGTCTCACGCGAACCGTGAACTTTTTTCCAGGAATCTGCATGCACAAAGTCAGAGAAACTCGGTCACGGCTGTCATGAGGGACAGTAACAGTCAGTGTCTGCTCCAGAGCCGGGTCAACCCGGTCAGTGACCCGGTTGGGGGGGGGGGGGGTTCTTGGACCCGGTTGGAAAAGGAACACCAGTTCACTTTTGACCCGGTTGGGAGTCCTGTCGAGTACTTTTTGTTTTACTGTACTTGGAGTGGGTGGGGGTAGACACTGATATAACAGTCTGCAGCTAGTGCAGGCACGCGTGGACAGAGTGTCCAGTACGGAGTCATACAATGTCGTAAACTATTTTAGTCTATAGACTCCCTGGTGTACAGTAGCCGCACTTGAACGTGCCCGGCTCTGACCCGGCTCTGACCCGGTTCAAGTGCGAGACTTGTGCCAGGTACACGTGTACCCGGTTGGTTTGAAATCCTGGAGCTGACACTGTGACTCCCATGTGGCTGTAACGTAGAACGTTCAAGTCATACTCAGTACTATGGACACTGCCTGGGGCCTCCTAATAATATAGAAAAAAAGTGCTTATTTGTGACACATTGGCCTTTATTCTGACTGGACGGCATGGGTCACGTGATTTACTAGTTGTACTGCTGGTACAGAAGAATTCACACTAGCATGCGACATTAGGGGTCTATCCACTATTTTATACTACTTTAGTTGTAAGGACTACTACTATATAATGTACTTCAGAGTCGAAGCAATGACGTCATTATTTCTTGACATCTGACGTCACCACTTTCAAGACCAGCACGTATTTTCAGAAGCTACATGTACATGTACATGTACATCAGGGAGTCGTAAAATACCGTATTTTTACGACTCCCTGATGTACATGTACAGCCATGCAACCCAGTGATCATCTGACTGACTGCGCAAGACTAGATTCGAACCCGTAACAGCATCAATCTCAAGCAACCCCTTTTTTAATATACGGCAGCCAGTCACTATACTGCAGATACTTTCCTTGCTCTTCCGGACCTCGGTGGATGCTACAAATACAGTATCATGTACATGTATATACAGGTAGAGTGAGAAGAAACTAAGAATAGTAACCATGGGAACAATAACTCCTCGGTGTTTTCTGGGTTTGGTGATCATGGTGACACATGCATTGTACATAGCCTATCATAGCCTAGGCCACAGATTAGCGTGAACGACACACGCATGTACAGAACAGAAAAAAGGAGTAAAGTTTTGACTCTCACGCACATACAATACATGTACATGTACAACACAGATGACCTTAGACAACTGTGACATACATCACAAGTACATGTACATGATTGTAGAAGCTTGGCAAATCTTCCGGACTTCTAGCTGTTCACTAGTATTGGCCGTGCAAAGAGATGCATCACCAACCAATAAGAATGATACACATTGTGATGACCAGGGGTAACGGGAGTGTTCCCTGGTGATACTAGTAACAGTAGAGGCCAAACGAACCCAACTAACACTGACTGTGTAGAGCTGCAACATGAGGCTACTAGTACTACTAGTACCTAACAACCTTGGTGTGAATGTGTTGTGTTTCTGCTTGCAAAGATGTTTAGGTTTGGCTTTTCTGGTGTGAATTCAGACACTGCTTCCAAAGCATTACAGCAATTTAAGATTGGAGAAACAAACGATCAGAACAAACATGCGACATAAGACAAAGAAAACTCCCAGACTTGTATTTCGAACGTGTGTTGAACACCTCCGTTGGTCATGATGGTGATGTTGCTGCTGCCGATCACACCTGACGCCAACTGTAGCATGACGCGGGGTTTGCCAAGTTTCAATGTGCGTGTGCGTGAGGATCATCACTTTACTCCTTGCTACATGTAGCGATGTAGGTGTTTCACGGTTCTCGCTAATCTACACAATTTCTATGTACCTACTGCTGCTTACAATGTATATCATCAGTCTAAACTGATTCTTCTACATTGCAGACGCTGCTTAGACCAGATTAGACATTGGTGTAATAACAATGCTGATTTCGTTCTTTTTAATTCTTCTGATTTTGTCCACCTGAAGAGAAGGCAAAGAAGGTGCTTGTGGAACCTTTCGAGTGTTACTTTTAAGAAGCCTTAATTTACGTTTGTTCTAAACCTCTCTAACCTAGAAATGATGTGGCTGCATTGAACATGTTCACTACTTGGCAAACGGTGACTTGATGGTATCTAAAAGCATTGAGCTCTGACTCTTGGCCATAGCCAATCTGTCCACTCTGGATCCTTCGCCTTCTCCACAGTCTAGGCTGTGTCTTCTCCACAGTCCCACAGTCCAGGCCGTGTCTTCTCCACAGTCCCACAGTCCAGGCTGTGTCTTCTCCACAGTCCCACAGTCCAGACTGTGTCTTCTCCACAGTCCCACAGTCCAGGCTGTGTCTTCTCCACAGTCCCACAGTCCAGGCTGTGTCTTCTCCACAGTCCCACAGTCCAGGCTGTGTCTTCTCCACAGTCCCACAGTCCAGGCTGTGTCTTCTCCACAGTCCCACAGTCCAGGCTGTGTCTTCTCCACAGTCCCACAGTCCAGGCTGTGTCTTCTCCACAGTCCCACAGTCCAGGCTGTGTCTTCTCCACAGTCCCACAGTCCAGGCTGTGTCTTCTCCACAGTCCCACAGTCCAGGCTGTGTCTTCTCCACAGTCCCACATTCCAGGCTGTTGTCTGTGCGTGGTGAGACTGATTTGATAGACTGATGATGATGTCAACCGGTCAACAAGGTCCAGGTTGTTGTACCGGTATGTATTGTACTGGTCTAGACAGAAATGACGTACATGTACATGTATTATAACCTAACACTGGTTAAAAAACCAGTATTAGATAAACCTTGTTATAGTTCACGCAATTTGTTAGATTGACAGCATGAAACAAGGTGGAGGACAAGTTGGAAGAAAAAGAAAAAGAAGTTTTTTTTATACAAGTTGAGGTTTCAGTGGCCGCATGACCACCAGCCTGGCACCAGGACGACATAAAGAAAAGAGCGAAGAATACAAAACGGACGTCAGGAGTAGTCTCCTAACCCCCTAGCATAATGAGGGTCAGAACCGGGTGCGACACCCATATGGTTCAGATGGTCCGCAGGGACCGGGGCTCTGCCAACCGTGGAAGGTTGTAGTAAGGTCACTGTTTCCGAACACTAGGCCTTGACAGATTATGCTAATATTTTCGTGAAATTATGCTTTTGGCATTGCTGAAAAAATTGCAGAATTATGCTATTTTTATGCTAAAAGTTATCATATTATTATGCCGCATTATGCTCACATATGCTGCTAATGTATAATGGTTCTGTGCAAAATAACAAGGGATATTTGTGGAGGGCGTTGTACTGTAGTAGCAAAAGTTCAACGGAGTCAACGCACCGTCCGACGTAGCTACGACCGTCACTGATTGTAGACTCTCTCTCTCTCCTCTATCTAGTGGACTGGACATGTTCTCAAGGGAGTCGGAAACCTACGACTTCCTGGTGCATCTACTTGTACTTGTAGAACATTGTACAACTGTATGGAATTTGATGCGAACAGGCGGATTATTCCAATTTTATGCGATTCGTATGCAATTTGCCTCGAATTATGCGATTATTCGATTTTGGTAGGAATTATGCGAAACATTATGCTAGCATAATCTGTCAAGGCCTACCGAACACAGTGTCCTCCACCTTGTTTCATGCTGTCAATCTAACAAATGTACATGACTTGTATGTAACGTTTCATGACAGTAAAACCTGTCTAGGCGACCACTCGGATAAGGCGTAGGGATCGGCGGATTCTGCTCGAAAAGGTGGCAGATTCTGCTTGAAAAGCAGTGAAATTGGCAGAACCATACCAACCTTATGCCGTTATGGTTGGCAATTCCTCGAATTCTGCTCCATTTCTTTATCCACATACCAAACATGCATGAAACTTACCAGAAAAAATACCAAATTCTGCCAATTTTCTGCCGGCATAATCCGCCGGTGCCTAATAAGGCGACCACCTGTCCCAGAAGACCACTAAAACCAGGACCAAGGGATGTTATTTCCAGTCAAATGACCCTGCATACGGACTTACGGAGACCACCTGGTAACAGAGACCACGTTTTGAAGGTCCCTTGATCAGTCGCCTTAGACAGGTTTCCCTGTACGTGTACCTGTATGGTTTGTGGTATGATAATGCATGAGATTGAGGATATATTCATTGCACTCTGTCTCTGGTGTCCTGCTTGCTGCACTCGGCCCGTCGTTACCATGGTTTCCACTATCCATGGAATGCAGTGATGATACGTTACACGTGACGTAGGCCACTACTAGTAGTAGTACTACCAATGGCGCCTGCAAAACCAGCATAACATGACCTGGTTAGGCATTGGCGGATAATGCTCGAAAAGGTGGCAGATTCTGCTCGAAAAGCAGTGAAATTGGCAGAACCATACAAACCTTATGGTGGGCAATTCCTCGAATTCTGCTCCATTTCTTTATCCACATACCAAACAAAAAAAGATGCGAAGCTGAACCTCGGCTTGAGTGTCATGGTCAAGAGATCACGCTGGAGGCTGTTTGGCCACATCCTGCGGATGGCAGATGAATCCCCAGCTGTTATGGCTATGTTCGCGTACTTCGCCAATCAGCAACAGCAATGCTGGAGGGGTAGACCGCGGACAACCCTACCGCAGGCATTGGTGGGAGATCTGCGCCAAGCCAATGCCGGATTGCTCGGGAACCTAGACGCTCTGCAGAGCCTGCGAGCCATTGCCCATGACCGACCCGCATAGCAAGATCTATGTATGAAGATCTGTGCATCGTGATATTCCGACAGATCCTGAAACAGTCAAACTCAGGAAATAGCACTATAGATGATATGCCAAATAAGCGCTCGAAAAGTTGAGAGGGCAAGCGATTGATGCGCCCAGGCTTAGCTTGTCAAGTGCACGGGATGTGCAAAGTACACGGATTTTAGGCTTGTTGCGTGCTTACGCGATCAGGTGCTGCACGTGCATGAATGGAATGCATGCAGTTCCACTGTTACTGCATTTTAGCATTCCGTCGGAGAAAATTTTCGGATGAAGAAAAGGAACTCT